TTATGAGTGGATGCTATCATACATCCAGAAGTACATGTAATACACTGAGCGAGATTAGGTGACAGATTCAGATCGATTTAAATACGTTGTGGGAGGCGGAACAACTACAATTGGTATTGATCACAAATTTTAATTTATACATTTAGTTTCAAGCAATGGATTTGAATAGAGTTGAACTATGAAAAAGCTTAGAACTGAAAGATGTTTTTCCAAGAAAACGAAACTTAAGGTGTGAAAAGAATACAAAAAAGAAACTTAATTACTAAACTTTAGCGAGGCGATTTATCTGAAAGGAAAAACTGTGAAGAAAGTTATCAGATGGGAAAATATTACCTCGCGTTATTTGAAGTAATTCAATTTTGAGGGTAAAATTCTCAAGAAATGTGTGGGGTAAATGTAATCTTATACTCGGAAATAATATCAGTTTGAGTTAGCATGTGACTCGAGTTTCTGTGGATTCGAATTCAACCCTGTCTAGTTTTAAAAATACTTTTTTTCTGATTATTTTCTTAATATATTTTTTCGTAGAATTCGAGAGAAAAAGAAGCTGATCGTCCAAGCACATCGTGAGATGAAACCGAGAAACAACAGGGCGAAGTTGCCACGTTCTACATTTTTGAAGGTCGGTTTTTTTCAGGGTCAGTTTTTTCAGGCCTTTTATTGCACTTTAATTTGTGGATTATCTCTTCTATTTGATGCTTTCTCTCTGAAGAAAACCTTAACACGGCAGGATTTTTGCTAACGACCAGTGCATTCTAATTTTGTTGTTTGCGCTCATTTTCCTCATCATTTTTAACTTTCAGAGTAAACCTTATGGACTGTTGTTAATATATGTGATAAAGCTCTTAATATATTTTTCAAATACTTCGACGTCAATAGATCTTGCTAACAAAGGTCTGTGGGAAATTCTTTCCGGCCTATCTGATAGTGGAAAAATCCTCCTTTAATTTGAAATACTATGATTATAACTACAAAATTTTGAATGACACACTTAAAATTCTCCGACGATTTTGTCGTTGCCGAGGACCGTCACAAGATTTTAGACGGCACTAGGTAGTTAGAGAGTTTTAGTTGTCTTGCAACCTGATTGATTACCAACCAACAAAGGGAACTTCCTATCAAGCTGGTCCTCTCTTACTTTCACTTAGATTGCATTCGTAGCGTTATGTTAGATTTTCTTTGTAGTTTTATCATATAGATACATGTGTCCTACTGTCTGATATCTGTTTTGTTTCCTCTACGTTAAGGCTCAAGCCGCTCGCAGCAGAAAAAACATCACAGAAGAGGTTGGTGGAGATGTAGAGATGGAAGGCATTGAAGAGGTGGGCTACAGAGTTGTTGCTGTTGTTGTTGTTGTTGTTGTTGATGTTTATTGCTTGATTCCTTGTTTTTGTTTTGTTTTTGCCTTTATATGTGTGTTTTGCTCTGCAGTATCAGTGAGAACAGGTAGAATGCATTGTCGACGTCTTTCATTCCAGAAAATGTCAGTTCACTTTTAAGTATTTCGTTTGTTTATTGTTATTTTTGGTCGCATCTCTTAATTGATAGAATAGTCTATAGATACAGTAGTTTGATTGATTCGTTGGTTGTTTCCAGGGAGACGTAGCCGAAAAAAGATCTCGTTCTCAGACCCCGATGAGCCGTAAAAGGAAGAGAGCAGCCAGCAACGGCGCACGCAGCTTATCACGTCCACCACGTGACCAATCAGGCATTAGTTCTCCCGAGGTGAGAAGTTGTGCGAAAGGGGAGGCTGAAACTGTTTTAACAATCTTTTTCTGGTTCCACTTGCGCTCTAGTTTCTGTACTTCTTGGTTGAAGGAAATATTCATGTGATGAAAATAACGAGATTATTGAACTCTCCAGACTTTTCATTGTCCCTTTCAATTAGTTTTCCCTCGCATAAGTGAACTATAAATTCGACTGATAAATATTACTGATGATGACGGTAATGAAAGCTGTTAACTTATCTTCGATTGAACAAACAACATGTAATTTATAAGTACTCACCATGTAAATTACGTTAAATCTTCTAAAAAATATTTTGACAACTAAGATGAATCAAATGAAATTAATTTCATTAAAAAAACATACAGCAAAAACATTCAGCATTAAACCTTTTTGGAACCAAAGGTGAGTAAAAAAGAAGGCTACTTTTTTGCGCAAAAGGTAGCGTATTTCAAACGTTTAGTTGCATTTCGGTTTAAACCTAAAACCGGAGGCATTTTTGACCTTACGCTCGCCAAAAAACATGCATTGGCGGCACACTGGTCAAACGAAACGAGCTGATGAATGAAGGGTAAATGTGAAAGGACGCCTCATGATAATTGAACATTTTATCTCGTCTCGAACTAAAGTAGGTTGTGGCTCCCTGAAGTGTACTGTGTAAGAGTTTTCTCGTGTTAATTCCTGACTTTTTTTGTTTAAAAATAGAAAAAGAAGAAAGCAAAGAAACTGTCAAAGGTTGTTCAAAGAGGCATCAACCGTATGGGCAAAGCAGGTAGGATTTTGGTGGACGAAAGAAATGCCTTTTTTCATGATAACTGTCGGTTTTATTTAGGGAAACCCTGTGGTCACCAGGAAAGTGTAAATGATTCATTTAGAGTGGCTACTGTGTGCAGCCATTTGCCTCCTTATTCGTCGCCTCTCCCTTTTTCTTCGACTCTTTCCCACTCTTCCCGTCCTTCTTCGTTCTTCGTCCACTGTTTCGCCCTCCTCTGTATCCTTTTGCCCGTCGTCGTCTTCTTTTTTTCTTCCTTCCCTCCAGGCCGCTCTTCCTCTTCCGTCCCTTTTTCGCATTCCCCATCTCCTTCTCTTACTCTAGCGGTTCGTTGCGATGATGTCCGTATCCAGACTCTCTTTCAATCAAATGTTTGATAGATTCTGTCTCAGAAACCTTATAATAATAAATAATAATATATAATATAATAAACCTTATTCAATATTTGACACTGTTACAGATTATCATGCGTTGTTTTTGTTCCACAGGTGAAGCTGACAGAAAGATCGCTACCAAAATGCCTAAACATATGTTTGCCGGCAAACGTAAGATGAACAAAGTCCAGAGAAGATAGCCTTGGATTGGTCGTATCTCAATATATTTGTATTAACACCATATTCTTGGGATCCAATTTATTTGGAAATAAATTCCTTGCGCAGAAAAACTTGTCATCGTTGTTTTCGTTTCGCTCTCTCAACTTTGCGTCGAACATTTTATGTAAAGGTCGGCCAACTTTTCACCGGAATTAAAAGGGAAAAAACTCGGGGAATTCTTGAGTGCTTTAAACGATCTCTTGTCCTTACTTTGGAGCTTAAACTTTCAAATGCAACAGCAAGTATTATAAAATAACTGAAAATTTATCTTAGGTTTATGACGAAAACTCGTCGGAACAATTTTAGAGTGTATCCAAGAAACCCAAAATATATTTTCCACGAACCCCTTTGAGAGGATAAGCAATCTTTGAGTCAGTTTTGTTTCTTTGAACATATTCACGAGCATTCTGTGAGGACATGTGCGCTTTTCGTTCTCAATCACTTCTGAGTGAGGGGGGGTGACCATATTTTGAAAATGTTTCATTTTTGGCCACATTTGCTCTCAACAATCATGATTTAAACAGTTATCTTTAACATATCATTGCAAACAAATTTTCCCAAGTAATCTTTTCTCCTCGCTAACTTTTATTCCAACTCTTCATTTTACAAAATGACGCCTCCTACAGAGCTTTAAACCCAAATGAATCCTGCAGGAAGTAACACAATTTAAAGGGACACCGAAGCCAAACACAAGTTAATATCTGGCTAAGTATGAGGAAGGGAACAAATCTAGATCAACATCAGCACAAATCTTTAAGTCATTATGGAAAGTTCGTAAAAAGTGTCAGACTTCTAAACCATTCACTCCAAACTAAAACTGAATATTGTATTAAGTACGTAGCACTCTATTTTATCCATCCACTATTCGCTACTTGTTACGTGTTTATTTTACTCCTTTTGCCATTACAATTACTCATGAATAAACATCTACTGTGTATCAACTTACATCGTCGCCGTTTTAGCGCTTGTTTAATTTACGACAAAATGAGGTGACATTCTATTGTTTTAAATCTGCTTCTATAGTCATCTCACTGCTGTTCGCCACTGGCGAAACGGCGATAGTTTTCCCTCTTCGCCGAAAGAGTAAACAAATCCTCATTGTAGAGCCAAGAACACTGAACACACAAACTCACACACACACAGGTAAAGAGTACCAACTGTATTGGGGTGATAAGTGAAATAAAGCATTACGATCATAAAAAGTTTTCTAATACAAACAAAATATGTGAGGAAAACACTCTCATGGTGGTCTCATGGTGACCAATTTCTTCTACACTTATCGATAATTCTACTAAGTCGTATTCTCTTAGACAGTGAATGCCCATAAACAATATAGCTAAGGAAACATTAGAGGCATCACAGTCAACTTTGTCTCTATTCTGAATAACAGTCGCTATTACTACCACACAAGAATGAAACATTAACACCGCAATAACCCACCACTTGTAGCTGTCAGTGAAATAACAGATGGCGAACAGTCGACTGCTCAGGACAAGTAAATGAGTTACATACAGTGCTACTTGGTGACGGTTTAGCATTTAGGTCACTGCTACTGAAAGCTGAGCGCAAAAGCCTCTGACTAACAGTGCAGCAATCTATTTCAGTAACTAAACCTGTGTCAATACACAGACTTACAATTTGATTCTCACTCTTCGACTTCTCACTGATCACTAACTACTGACTCAATGACCTTGGCGAAGTAAATTCTAAAGTTCATGGTTATTTATTTGCTATCGGTGGGCATGAGCACGCGTGCTGGCCAACTGGCCTTGGAAGATTAAACATTCGGTATCAGAACGCTGACCCAAACTCGTTTATAAGAATCTCATAAAATGAAAAAAAAAAACACACTTAATGCTTTCGATAAACAGAATCGATCTTTGACCTTGTAAACCACAACATGAGCTTTTTTTGGTTGGTCCGTCCGTAGATGCAGATTTAGTGTTTCAATTATAAATACGATAAACACACCGAGGAACAACCGTCTTGTACGCCGGCTAAATATGCCCTAAGCAAGTATTTGCCTTTGTCCATAATGAGAGGACATGGTCAGTATTGTAAAAGCTTTATAATTAATTTATCAATCACTAGTTCAATAAGGCGGTGTGCTAATACAACTTAGGTTTAACCAGGCAAGATCGCGATGAAAATTTTCATTGTAGCGGGATAGTGGAATGGAATGAAAAATAGCCTCCCAAGGCCAGTAGTCCAACTACGCACGTTTAGTGATGGAAGCTAAACAAGATAGTCACAACTTCGAAACTCATCTTGATAGCTTAAACCTAACTTCGGACTTCGAATTCAAATAGTAGCTACAGACTAAATATAAGCGAATGACTTGATTATACTGAACTAACATAATACTTCGCAACACATGCATTCACATCACCGCTGCTCGCAGCTGGTGAACCGCCGGCAGGTTTCTTGCTTAGCCAACGAAGTAAGCAAATTCTCATTGTGGAGCCAAGAACACTGAACACACTAACACAAACAGTAACTGGTAAAGAGTACCAAGCGTTGGAATGATGAGAGAGAAAAAACATCAGGATCATAAAAAGGTTTTCTGATACAAACAAAATATGTGACAAAAACACAATCAAGGTTGGACCAATTATTGCTACTTTTGACGAAAATTCTACAAAGTCGTCTCTTAGACAGTGAATGCCCATGAAAAATATAGTTGAGAAAACGCAGCAGGCATAACATTCAAGTTTGTCTCTATTCTGAATAAACTTCGCCATTAATACCACACAAGAATGAAACATTAACACAGCAATAACCCACCACTTGTAGCTGACGGTGAAATAACAGATGGCGAACAGTCGACTGCTCAGGAGAAGTAGGTGAGTTACATACAATGCCAGTTGGTGTTTAACATTCAGGTCACCGCTCCAGGATATTATTTTGCGCATGGCAAGAGACCTCCTATCGGTGGCTGTGAAGGCCCATGCCAGAGTGAGGAAAGAGATCGGTAGAGAAATGATTTGGATAATTGAAGCTGGTTCCTCCTGAACACTGATGGCGTACAACTGAATTATAAAATGTGGAGCGGACTCAAGGACTGCCTCAAAGAGCACAACAAAGTCAATGTAATAGAGTACATTGTCAGCTTTTACGGAGCGGACCGGGTTGATTTCACCTCCAGACCACCATTTCTTGAGACAGAAAAGAAAAGCTTCTACTCTCGCGAAGGCTGCTGAAAATGGATGAAATGCACAAAGAGCAGTTTTTGCCCAACCAGAGGGTGAAGCAGTTAATTGGGCACGAAACAGGATAAACAACGCTGGAAACGCCAAACATGGCAATAAAACAAAAGTAAGCCCCACACCAAACCATATTTTGTGATCCGCGCGGTAGAATTCTACCAATGTAAGTATGTCGGTGATGGGATCAACAAAACTTAAAATAGCTCCAGCTGAGAACACGAAAGGACTGTACCACGTAAGATCTTTCACTTCCATATCGACGGACTTTTCGTTTGTTCGCCTTGCAGATCGACCTGTATTGACATAGGTTCAGTTACAGTACTAAAATAGATTGCTGCAGTGATAATCAGAGGCTTTTGCGCCAGGCTTTCGACTGAAAAACTGCAAAGTTTCCTTTAGTTTAGTCTGTTTTCACTCTTGAGATCATGGAAAGTAGTTTGTCGTCTGTATCAATTTTAGTGTAACATACGAGATCCTGGAAACTGATCGGTTCTCAGATTGTTTTTCCTACACAGTCTGGGAGAGCTGGAATGCTCATTTTAAAATCAAAACTTCCGAGTCTCAAATAGTCCTCATAAGTATATTCAGGTGAACATCATAGTTATTTTACGGTAAGTAATTGCAATTAGCTTCTAAACGATCGCCTGCTAAATGCTCATTTAGGATGTGCGAAATATTCAACTGTTTTTTCACGTAAAAGTGACACATATGGAAAAATGAGTTTGAACGATTGACAAAATCAATCCAGTGAACTGACCTTACCGTACAAATTCTGTCAGTCAGAACATAAAACATTTTAGTGCGGTACTCACGCAACGCCTCACGTTGTCATCAGGGTCGTCCATGGTGATAATGACTCTATTCTTCGCCGCATAATTTGAGGTAAAGCACCATATTCCTTAAATTTGAGCAATTTACCTCACTGACACGTTAAATATTAACACCACCCAATAAATTATGAGTATTGGACAACATTTAAATATAAAACAACCATAATTGTTTAGTTACCTGTTAAATATCAATGTAAATAACAAATTTTCCCTATTTTTTTTTTATTTTTAATAAACTTAACCAAAATTCTTGCTTGTTATTCTCTTCCCTCGATCAGGCTGCTACAGAAAAATTGAGCACACTGAATGTCGAATTAAGGGACTGAGGATGGATTTAAACTTCCCTATTCCTTATACGAGGCACAGCCGTGTATCGTCCAACCTTTTTGAGTCTGTTGCTTTCCAGTACTTAGTCCGTCTTCTTGTAAAAGAGATTGAGAAAAAAAAACGCACATAGTATGCACTTTAAGAAAAGGTAATTACCCCGTGACAACCAAGATAGATAGACCATGTCCGATTTGGAAATTAACTACCGACAGCCAGGTGAAATTGATCTTCCAGCCATCAGTTTCCCGTACGAATAATTTATCGCACAACTTAAATGCTAAACGCGGCGGCAAAAAGCTTCGTTACAAGACTTCTCCTCTTTTTTTTCTAGTTAATAAGATGATAGAACGGTAGAATGGCGAGATGGCGAAATTGCAGAATATCCTTAAACACGGAACGTCTTGTTGTGAGAAACAAAAGTTTTACAAAAATGGAGTTGTTATGAAATCAGAAATAATTTATAGTTGACAGGCAAAATTAAAGAATCGTAGCTTAATCATTATTGGGGCTTTGAGAATAGAGGAATAGTGAGGTTCTTAAAATAGCCCCTCTAAATTATTATTACTATTACTATGGTTATCATTTTTATTGTTATTGTTAATATGATTGTTTGTTATCATTGAATCATTAGTTGCATGTCAATTAGTCACTATATTCTTGGATCATCTTTCTCTTGTGTGACAGGCCACTCATCAATATGTGTATATGAGGGATGCGGAAGGTTTTCTGCTTTGAATGTGACATAAATATTCTTCAACACTACCATCTAGCGACATCAGAAAACTTCTAGTTCTTTTCGATGTTATAAAAATTGAGCTATATCAGTAGCCACATGTTATCTTAGACTGTATGTTTAACGATTCGGATCAGTAACCTTCAGTTTTCCCATTTACAGATTTTGAAACGCCATGATCTTGAGACATTCTCAGTACTCAAAGAATGGATTTGTTTTCATGTTAAATGTAGATAACTTTTATTCTAGTTCTTGTTTTACAAACTATCTATTTGTACACAGCTTTATATGAGAATTAAATACTGCGAGAAACTAGACATCTTAAAGTGCTGCGCTAAATGCAAATCAACAACTTTTTTAGGATGAGTGTCTGATTCTAGAGCAACATAGGTCAAAGTCCTAAATTAATAATCCTAAACTCGTTGAAAGTATCAAACCTCTAAACCACTAACCCCTAACTAAAATCGAGTATTTTAATAAGTATCTTCAATCTACTCTATAATATCCTCCATTATTCACAGCTTGTCGTGTTTTATTAATTCCCTCTACATTCTGAGTTCCAAATTTAAAAGTATCTATTACATCTAGCAATTTGTACCAAGTCCTCCGCCGTGCAAGTAGGTCGGGTTACAATGATGAGAAAAATAGCTGCAGACCGCAACACGTTTTTACAAAAGGCACCAAGGACTCTCGACTCTCTTTTATCTCTCGACTCTCTTTTATCTCTCGACTCTCTTTTATCTCTCGACTCTCTTTTATCTCTCGACTCTCTGACTAAAACGTCTTCTTTCCTTTAAATTTGCTTCCCTCTGAGCAACTCTGGTTGTCTGGCTCTTATTCTGATTAATCTCTCTTTGATATTCACACTTCTCACAATTTGATTCTTACTCTTCTACTTCTCACCGACCACTGACTACTAATTAACTCAATGAGTTTGGCTAACTTGACTCTAAAGTATATACTTGTTTATTCTGTACCGAGCGGGCATGCTGGCCAACTGACCTTGAAAGAATAGCTAAGATTAAACATTCGTTGTCAGAACAATAACCTAAACACTTTTATAGGAGTCTCACAAAATGAAAAACAACGCACTGAATGCTTCTGATCAACAGAAAAAACAGGGTTTAACCAGGTAGCATCGGGACAAAAATTTTCACTGCAGCGGAATGGCGGAATGGAATGAAAAATAGCGGCGGAATACAGGATTGGAAAAGTCTAATTTGGACCCTCCTCTTAGACTGCGTAAGCCTGAACGAGGCTAAATTTTCGTGAGGGTCATAGTCCAACTTCGCACGTCTAGTGATGGACTTAAACAAGATAGTCACAACTTCGAAACTCGTCTCAATCACTTAAACCTAACTACGGACTTCGAATTCAAATAGTAGCTACAGACTAACATAAACGAATGACTAGATTAAATTGAACTTTTATAATACTTTGCCTCACACGTTGTCACACCAGGGCTCTTCACAGTCGTGAACACACCCAGCGTCCTCTCGTTCATACCTTATCGTAAAAAAGTGCTCTACCTCACTCGTACTCTGACAAGAGCTGTTCGCGGCTGATAAACCGCCAGTAGGTTTGTTGCGTAGCCAATGAAGTAAGCAAATTCTTATTGTGGAGCCAAGAACACTGAACACACAAACACACACAGTGACAGGTAGAGAGTACCAAGCGTTGCAGTGATAAGTGAAATAAAACATTAGGATCATAAAGAAGTTTTCTAATACAAACAAAATATGTGAGAAGAACACACTCATGGTTAAACCAGTTACTTTTACACCTATCGAAAATTCTACAAAGTCATCTCTTAGAAAGTGAATGCCCGTAAAAAACATAATTAAGAGAAGATAAGGGGCAATACGGTCAACTTTGTCTCTATTCTGAATGAAAGTAATGAAAGTTACCACGGCACAAAAATGAAACATTAACATGGCAGTCACCCACCACTTGTAGCTGACGGTGAAATAACAGATGGCGAACAGTCGACTGCTCAGGAGAAGTAAGTGAGTTACAAACAATGCCAGTTGGTGTTTAACATTCAGGTCACCGCTACTTGGTATTATATTATTCACGGCAAGAGACGTCTTATCAGTGGCTGTGAAGGCCCATGCCAGAGCGAGGAAAGAGATAGGTAGAGAAATGATTTGAATGATTGCTGCTGATTCTTGCTGAACACTGATGGCGTACAACTGAATTATAAATTGTGGAGCGGACTCAAGGACTGCCTCAAAGAGCAAGGCTAAGTCATTGTGAGTGAGTAAACCCTCAGCTTCGTTAAGGGATTTCGGGTCGATTCCATCATTATACCACCATTTCTTGAGACAGAAAATAAAAGCCTCTACTCTCGCGAAGGCTGCTGAAAATGGATGCAATGCACACAGAGCAGTTTTTGCCCAATTAGAAGGTGAAGCAGTCAATTGGGCACGCAGCCGGACGAACAATACTGGAAACGCCAAACATGGCAATAAAACAAAAATTAGCCCCACACCAAACCATGTTTTGTGATCCGAGCGGTAGAATTCCACCAGTGTGAGTATGTCGGTGATGGGATCAGCAAAACTTAAAATAGCTCCAACAAAGTACACGAAAGGACTGTACCACTTAAGATCTTTCACTTCCATATCGACGTAGTACTCGTTTGTTCGCCCAGCAGAACGGCTCTTATCGACACAGGCTCAGTTACTGAAATAGATTGCTGCTCTGTTGGTCAGAGGCTCTTGCGCTCAGCTTTCGACTAAAAAAATGCAAAGATTCCTTGGTTTAGTATGGTTTCGCATTAACAGTCAAGGAATGAGGTTTGCCGTCTGTATCAATTTCAGTTTAATACACGAGATATTGAAAACTGATTGGTTCTCAGATTATTTTTCTAACACAATCTGGGAGAGCTAGAATGTCCCTGATAAAATAAAAACTTCCGAGTCTAAAAAGTCCTCATAAGTATATTCAGGTGAATACCATAGTAATTTTACGGTAATTAATTGCAATTAGCTTTCAAACAACCGCCTGGTACATGCTTAATTAAGCTGTGCGGGATATTCAACTGTTTTTCCAAGTAAAACTGACACATATGGAAAATTAGGTACAAACGAATGACAAATTCAATCCAGTAAACTGACCTTACAGCTCAAATTCTGTCAGTCAGAACATAAAAAATTTTAGTGCGGTACTCACGCAATGCCTCACGTTGTCACCAGGGTTGTTCAAGGTGATCATGACCTCTTCTTCGCCGCATACGTTGAGGCAAAGCACCATATTCCTTACATTTGAGCAATTTACCTTACTAACATGTTTAATGTCAATATCACTCGATAAATTGTAACTATTCGACAACATTTAAGTTCAAATGTGAAAGTGACAGGTGAAGAGTACCAAGCGTTGGGATGATAAGTGATATTAAGTATGAGAATCATAGAGGAGTTTTCTAATACAAACAAAACATGTGAGAAATACACACTTATGTTAGACTAATTACGTTTACATTTATCGATAATTCTAAAAAGTCTTCTCATAGACAGTGAATGCCCATAAACATGAATATTAAGAAAACGTGGGAAGCATCGCTGTCAACTTCTTCTCTATTTTGAATAACAGTCGCTATTGCTACCGCACAAGAATGAAACATTAAAACATCAATAACCCACCACTTGTAGCTGACGGTGAAATAACAGATGGTGATGAACAGTCGACTGCTCAAGAGAAGTAGTGAGTTACATACAATGCAAGCTGGTGTTTAACATTCAGGTCACTGCTACTTGATAATATTTCGAGCTCGTTCAGAGAGCTCCTATCAATGACTGTAAAGGCCCAGGCCTGAGTGAGGAAAGAAATAGGTAGAGTAATGATTTGAATAATTGCAGCTGGTTCCTCCTGAACACTGATGGCGTATAACTGAATTATAAATTGTGGAGCGGATTCAAGGACTGCCTCGCCAGAGCGGTCCCAGTCGATTTCATCTTTGTACCACCATTTCTTGAGACAGAAAAGAAAAACTTCAAGTCTCGCGTAGGCTGAGACTGATTGCCTGATTTCACACCAGATACCATGGAATGGGGGTTGTCGTCTGTATCAATTTTAGTGTAATACACGAGATCCTAAAAACTGATAAGTTCTCAGATTGTTTCTCGGACACAATCTGGGAGAGCCAGGATGTCCATGATAGAATCAAAACTTTTGAGTCTCAAAAATTCCTCATTACTATATTCAGGGAAATGTCATAGTTTTTTTACGGCAAGTAATTGGAATTAGCTTTTAAACAATCGCCTGCTGAATGTTTAATTAAGTTGAGAGGAACATTCACCTGTTTTTCCAATAAAAACACATTGCAAAATGAATTGAAACGAATTTCAAATTCAATCCTGTAAACTGCTCTTACCGTCAAAGTCTGTCAGTAAGAATATAAAATGATCAATTTTAATTTAAGTACTCACCCAATGCTTCACGTTGTAGTTTAAGGTGATCATGACCTTCTGCTTCGCCGCATACCAAATTGCGAAAAAAAAAGCATATGGCATGCATTCTAAGAAAAGGGTATTACCCCGTGACAACCGAAATGGATAAACCATGTCCGATTTGGAAATTTACTGCTGACAACCAGGCGAAAATTGGTCTTCAAGGCATCGGTTTCCAGTACGCAGTTAGCTATCACCCAGTTCAATTACTAGACCTTGTTTGCAAAAAGCTTCCTTCCCAGAATTTTCATCTTTTTCCTATTTGAAAAAATGATGGAACGGTGGAATGGTGAGATGGCGAAATGGCAGAATATCCTTAAACACGGAATGTCTTGTTGCATGAAACAAAAGTGTTACAAAAAATGGAATTGTTATAAAATCAGAAAATAATTTATCATGAACAGGCAAAATTAAAGAATCTTAGTTTAATCATTTTTGGGGGCTTTGAGAATAGAGGAACATTGACGTTTTTTAACTAGCCCCTTTACATTATTATTAATATTACTATGGTTATCATTATTATTGTTATTGTTAATATGATTATTTGTTATCATTTAATCATTGGTTGCATGTCAAGTGGTCACTATATTCTTAGATCATATTTTCTTGTGCAATAGGCCACTCATAAATATGTGTATATGTGGGATGCGGCAGCTTTTCTGCTTTGAATGTGGAATAAATATTCTTAAGCATTACCATCTGGCGTCATTAGACAACTTCTAGTCCTCTTCGATGCTATAAAAATTGAGCTATATCAGTAGCCACATACAGTCTTACACTGTATGTTTAACGATTCGGATCAGTAACCTTCAGTTATTCCCATTTACAGATTTTGAAACGCCATGATCTTGAGACATTCTCAGTACTCAAAGAGTGGATTTGTTTTGTTAAATGTGAATAACTTTTATTCTAGTTCTTGTTTTACAAACTATCAACTTGTACATAGCTTTATTTGTAATTAAATACTGCGAGGAACTAGACACCTTAAAGTGCTGCGCTAAATGCAAATCAACATATTATTTAGCATGAGAGTCAAATTCTATATCAACATAAGTCAAAGTTCTCAATTCATAATTCTAAACTCGTTGAAAGTATCAAAACCTCTAAACCACTTACTCCAAGCTAAAACCGAGTATTTTAAAAAGTAACTGCAATCTACTCCATAATATCCATCCATTATTCGCAGCTTGTTGCGTTTATTTAATTCCCTCTATATTTTGGGTTTCAAATTTAAAAGTATCTATCACATCTAGCAATTTGTACTAATAAATGAAAACGAGTAGAAACTCCTCGCTCTGAGTCTTATCAATCTTCAATTTTGCCTCACTCTGTGCAACTCTGGCCGTCCTGGTCGTCTGGCTCTGACTCTGATTAATCTCTCTTTGTTACTCACAGTTTTATTCTCACTCTTCTACTTCTCTCTGACTACTGACCGCTGACCACTGACTACTGGCTCAATGACTTTGGCTGAGTAAACTCTAAAGTACATGCTTATATATTTGTTATTGGTGGAAATGAGCGGGCATGCTGGCCAACTGACCTTGGACGATCGATTAAACTTTGTTGTCAGAAATCTCAGTGATCCAAACTCTTATATTAGAATCTAAAAAAATGAAAAACAACGCACTGAATGCTTCCCATCAACAGAATCAAGTTTGAGAGTGTAAGCCAAAACATGAGCTTTTTTTTCTATAACATTGATGAATTCTGTTGCGTCTTTGAGGCGTGCGATTGGCTGAAAAAAATATCATCTATGTAACAGAATAGCTTTTCTGTTGGTCCTCCTGTAGGTGGAGATTTTACGTCCCTCTTATAGAGACTATAAACACACCGAGGAACAACCGTCTTTTAAGCCGGCTAAATATGCCTTAAGCAATTAACTCTTTGTCTTTCTCCGTAATAACAGGAAATTATTCATATTGCAAAGGCTCTAATTTATCCATCACTGGTTCAATAAGGCGGTGAACTAAAGCAACTTGGGTTTAACTAGGCGAGATCGGGATGAAAATTTTCATTGCAGCGGGATGGCAGAAGGAATGAAAAATAGCGGCGGGATACAGGATTGGACACTCATCTTTAACTGCGTAAGCCAAAACAAGACTGAAACTTTCGTGAGGTTCATGGCCAAGGACAGTAGTCCAACTACCCACGTCCAGTGATGGAAGTTAAACAAGAGAGTCACAACTTCGAAACTCATCTCGCTAGCCTAAACGTAACTTCTGACTTCAAATTCAAATACTACCTACAGACTAAATGAAAACGAATGACTAGATTATACTGAACTAACATTTAGCATGTATTCACATCACTGCTACTCGCGGCTGGTGAACCGTCGGCAGTCTTCTTGCTTAGCCAACGAAGTAAGCAAATTCTCTTTGTGGAGCCAAGAACACTGAACACATAAACACACAGTGACAGGTAAAGAGTACTGCAGTGAACTCCTCTTCTATTCCGAATAACAGACTAAAGACATTGTCAATATTGCAAGGGCTTTGCTTTATCCATCAGTAGTTGAATAAGGCGGTGTACTAAAGCAAATTTGGTTTAACCAGGCGAATTCGGAATGAAACTCTTCATTGCAGCGGGATGGCGAAAAGAAATGGAAAATAGCAGCGGGATACAGCATTGGAAAAGTCTAATTTGGGCCCTCTTTTTGACTGCATAAGCCAAAACAAGACTAAACTTTCGTTCTCCAACTACGCACGTCCAGTGATGGAAGTTACACAAGATAGCCACAACTTCGAAACTCATCTCGACAGCCTAAACCTACTATTGGACTTCAAATCCAAATAGTAGCAACATACAAAATATTAAATAATGACTAGATTATACTGAACTAACATAATATTCAACAAGTATTCACAACACTGCTACTCGGCTGGTGAAACTCTGGCAGTTTTCTTCCTTAGCCGACGAAGTAGGCAAATTCTCATTGTGGAGCCAAGAACAGTGAACCCACAAACACAAACAGTGACAGGTAAAGAGTACCAAGCGTTGGGGTGATAAGTGAAATAAAACATTAGGATCATAAAGAAGTTTTCTAATGCAAACAAAATATGTGATAAAAACACACTCATGGTCAGACCAGTTATTTCTAAATCCATCGATAATTCTACAAAGTCATCTCTTAGACAGTGAATGCCCATAAACAATATAGTTAAGAAAACGTAGAAGACATCACAGTTAACTGCGCCTCTCTTCTGAATAACAGTCGCTATTACCACCACACAAGAATGAAACATTAACACAACAATAACCCACCACTTGTAGCTGACGGTGAAATAACAGATGGCAAACAGTCGACTACTCAGGAGAAGTTGGTGAGTTACATACAATGCCAGTTTGTGTTTAACATTCAGGCCACCGCTACTTGGTATTACTTTGCGCTCGTCAAGAGACCTCTCATCAGTGGCTGTGAAGGCCCATGCCAGCGTGAGGAAAGAGATAGGTAGAGAAATGATATGGATAATTGCAGCTGGCTCCTCCTGAACACTGATGGCGTACAACTGAATTATAAATTGTGGAGCGGATTCAAAGACTGCCTCAAAGAGCACAGCAAAGTCCATGTGATAGAGTACACCTCCAGCTCGTTCAGAGCTGACCGGGTCGATTTCATGTCTAGACCAGCATTTCTTGAGACCGAAAAGAAAAGCTTCTAGTCTCGCGAAGGCTGCTGAAAATGGATGCAATGCACAAAGAGCAGTTTTTGAAAGTGAAGCATGACGTAGGGTATAGAACAGTACTAGAAACGCCAAACATGGCAATAAAACAAAAGTAAGTCCCACACCAAACCATGCCTTGTGATCTGCGCGGTAGAATTCCACCAGTGTGAGTATGTCGGTGATGGGATCAGCGAAACTTAAAATAGCTCCAACAAAGAATACAAAAGGACTGTACCATTTAAGATCTTCCACTTTCATATCGACGGACCTTTCGTTAGTTCGGTCAGTAAGTCGGCTTTCTTTGATATAGGCTTAATTACTGTTGCGCTCAGCTTCGACTGAAAAACTGCAAAGTTTCCTTCGGTTAGTCACAAAATGAGGTGTGCTGCACGTCTGTATTAATTTTAGTGGAAATTGTTGGGAACTGATTGGTTTCCCGTTTTCTTTGTGACGCAGTCCTGGAGATCTGTAGTGTACAATAACAAAATTCAAATTTCTGCGTCTCAAAAATTTTAATTACCAATAGCAAATATCATTGTTAAGTTGTCGCGTGTTTTGGAGGAAAGCTAGGTGCAGAGCGGACTTCGCCTAAGAAAAGGCATCAAGGACTCTCGACTTGCCCTTTACGGTCTTCTTGATCTCTCTCTGTAATACAATCCTAGTTACAACAAAATGACTTCACACGCTTCGATGCTCTTTAACCGCTCTGATTCTTAATAATTAATAGAATCCGATCAATGTAATGTTTAAAAAACGAGCAGGAGTGTTTTATCGGGTCAAAAACCACGAGGCGTAGCCGAGTGGTTTTTGACCCGATAAAACACGTGCTGCGAGTTTTTTGAACGGCTTCAAAAACATTCTTGGAAAAGCGTGTGTCAAGAGAGTTCATAACAATTATGCTTTTGTGAACGTTAGAAATTAGCATACGAGAAAAACATCGTAAGTCACGTGCAGTGTCTTTATATCTGAACAATTTGTTTAAAAAAGAGCAGCAGCATGTTCTTTAGCGAAAATTTTTTCACAAGAATCCAAAATGCAAATGACCAATATTCAAAAATAGTAGATGTATTTTCATTCAGACTGAAATGTAAAAAAGAAAATAAACCAACATAAGAACATCTGCATCACTTCATATGACAGAATTATAGACAGTATGTTTTATTGCTAAATTGTATTAAACAAAAACACTAAAAATTAAATTAGCTATATGCCTTGCATTTCAACTAATTAAGATACATTATTGTTTTTTTAGAGGGCACGGTAACGAATCCTGCAATCTGATTGGTTC